TGAGCATTCTTTTAAAATTAATTGATAGATGTATATGCAGTATTTTAATTATTTTTGCATAATTGAGTGTTTGGTCTGCTAACTGGTGAAGTTCAGTGCATATTCTTGTAGCACTTTGAGTAATCTTTTTATTTAAAATTTTTTTGTGGGGGGAAGATGCAGAGTTTGGGGTAGAACCTTCCCCCCTGTAGATAAAACATATATTATTTATTTTTATGCATTTGTATGCACTTTAGAAAGTAGTAATGTAGTGTAGTATTTAGTGTGTAGTGTGAATGTTAGTGTTTTTTTTGTCTGGTATGAAATACAATTACAATTATTTCACTGTGGCAAGAGCGTTAAAATTGTTTTCTCTACTAGAATAATATAAAACATTAAGGGGCTCCACCCCTTACCACGCCAGACGTACATTTACATGTACATACAAACAGAACTATACTGTGTATTTATAGCAGAAAAAATTGTTGGAGTTTTATTTTTGTGATTGGCAGATTAATGATAAATCACCAATACCGTATAGCGGAAAATTTTCGTGGCCCAAAAATTTTGCAGATCCATTCAAAAATCAATTTTGTGGCTTTATTTTTTGTTGTTTTCTACTTTTCGGCCATCTTGAACCATATTGAATCAATTTTTGTGGATTTTGAAAAATTGTAAAATCCACGAAAATTTTGAGCCACGAAAATTTCCGCTATACAGTACATTGCAATCATAGAATTGCTTGTATTAAGTGTTGCCAAATATTCCCGCTATATAGTACTTCATCAGTAAGGTCTTTGCTCAAATATAAATTTTAAAAGCAGCAAAATGTAAAGTCTTATCAATAACTAAGTCTGAAAGAACTCAGCTCTATGCTTTTTAATGTAGTGAATGCAGCGAATACAGAATAGAATGAATAAAACTAGTAAAACAATTACTAAAATAGTTCCTAAAACTGATCCTAAAACAATAGTGGCAATTTTATAGCCATCAACATCACTAGGATTCAGCTTCCCCTCTATTGCTTTTTTATACTCGTCCACTGTAAAATCAAAGTTTCCGCATTTCTGCATCGTGTAAGGAGCAGGTGTCTTTTTCCCTCCTTCATTAATGATGAGTCCCATTCCCTCCAATTGATGTACCTCAATATGACAGTGCAGGAACCACCAACCAGGATTATCACTTTTAAAATACACAACAGCATACCCACCAGCTGGTATTAACAGAGTATCCTTTAATGGGGCAGAAGAATCGAGATCAAAGCTATCATATGTATTTGTACTCCAAGATGGGTTAGTACACAGTAGGTCTCCACCACATTGAACGTCACTGCTCCCTTCCTCTAGTCTTCCTGTCATACTATCGGTGCGACCAAATTGGATATCAGCTACTTGAAAATAATGTCCATGTAAATGTACTGGATGTGCGAATAGGAAGTTGCCTAGTTGTGTAGTGTTTGGTCCAGTAGCTGATATTACTAGCTGTATGGTATGATCACTGCTTACGTTAACAACATGAGAACAATAGCAATTGGAATCGGGAATAGACGCAATCTGATTGCACTGCCAATCAGTATCGAGGTTCTTGCAGGTTTCTTCGTAAAGGTTTTCTGGCGTCTCATACAAAGCAGGTGGAGATGAGGGAAGTTTCAAGTTACGAGCATTAATGGCACTGGTCTGACTAATTCCTTCAAAACCGAAATTGAAGAATAAGCTAGTACGACCTTTTGCTCCATTAGTAGGTAGATCACTATCAGATACAGGAAAGAGTAGCCTAAGATTATGAATATGTTCACAACTGATGTGATGCGACTGAGGATAGACCAGGAAAGGACAGTTGAGGGCTGTACAGTTGGAGGCTTCGGTGCATCTAACATGGTCACTCTGAGAACTTCGAGCAATGCTCTCATATTCAGTAGCTGTAGGATAAGTAGATGAGTCTGTATTGTAGTGCAGTATAGCTTCTGTAATATTTTTATTCTCTTCATCGTTTACCTCCAGTGTCACTGCACGGATTAAATAATTAAATTGTGACGTGTTGTTTTCTGTTTGAAGAAGAAAGTCATATCGCTCTCCAGAATGTATTAAAATGAAATCGACTTCCACTGGTCTTATATATTGCCCGTCTGTTGCTATCACGGTTAGTTTGTGTCTGTCAATGGAGAAACGATAAGCATACAAACTCTGTGCACCAATCAACCTAAAACGATACACACTACCAGGAGAGACTTCAAAAACACTCAACTCTGAATTAACATAAGGAACACTGGCATGTCTTCCTTTACCATTTATTATCCCGGACCAATAGGGAACTGGCCCCACTTCAGCACCGTCTGATGAATAGGTTATTTTGGCAAATGGCTATCAAAACACCAAATTCGCCAAATTTAACCCCCTTTGTATATAATGATTTCACTTATATCAAATTATGTATAATTACACCATAAAGGAAACGTGAAGGAAACATGAAGGAAACATGAAGGAAACGTGAAGGAAACATGAAGGAGATATGAAGGAACCATGAAAGTAATTAATATAAATAATGTATACACCGCGAACGGAGTAAGCGTAATAATTCTTTTATATATTTCTAGTAAACAATGCGCATCATAGTGAGCGTGATAGTATTTCCTTTAAATATTCAAATAATACATTTAGTATTAGTATTACTATAATAAAACAAAGTGTTAAAATCATAAAATTTTTATATATATATAGTAAACAAATTATTAAAATATATAAAATGGCATATAGCTATGATTACTTCAATGAAGAGGAGGAGGAAGCATATTTTAACTCTAAATTAACAGGAGACTACGTTTATCAGCAACCTATAGCTGACATCGAAGAACGAGTTTTCAAACAATATAACCAGGTATATCCTGTAAGCGCATTAAAATCAAACGTAAGTTATATAACTAAATCATTTCAGTCAGTTGATGGATTATCTAATATAAATATAGACGACTCACATAATCCCATTTCAAAAATATATAAAACAGAAGAACGAAAAAAGGAAAATGAATTATTAAATGAAGAGTTACTAGAGAGTAAAGCTAGAATAAAGCAATATGAAGAAAATATAAAACAAAGTGAAAAGAAGGAAAAGAAAAGAAAAATAACAGAAAAGAAAACTGAAAAAACCGTAACACGTGATAAAAAAGAAATTGCTAAAAAAATCAAAGAGCTTGAAGAAACAATAAAAAAATTGCAAAAAGACAGAAAACGCAGAGAAAAAGAAATTGAAGAAAAAAGAAAACAAGATGAAAAAGAAAGAAAACGTATAGCTAAAGAACATGAAGAATTCAGAAAAATATTATTAGAACAAGGTGTAATATCAGAAACAGGTGAAATAACATTAGAACCCTCAGAATACACAAGATCGTTAAATATATATTTAAACGCTATTAATGATGTTGAAAGAATATACGGTAAATCTATCGAAGAGCTAAGATATGACACTGATATTATCGGAGAGTTATCAAACAGGTTAAAAAAAATATTAAGATATAACGGTGTAATTGTAACAACTATAAATGAATTATTATCAGCAGTTAGAAATAATAAAGTGTTTAATATTATCGTAAGAATACCAGAATTTACATATGATAATTTATATAACCTAGCCACAAATAATAGTGAGCTAAGAAATTTCAGATTAAGTAACATAGATAATCAAAGCGCACTAGGACGTGAAATAAATATGTCCTGGACTACATTCTCCGATAAAATAATAGAAGAAGATTATCTACATGGCGAGGTTATACATGAAATCAGACTAATACGCCAACGTGACATATCATCATTCTTTCCGGAAATCCCATATGAAAATAGAAAAGATAAATTAAAAGAACGTGCAGATGCCGCATTAGCTGCAGGAAAACGTGTAGGTAGAGGTAAGGGAAATGGAGCACAATATGGAGAAAGTGAAAGTGATCTAATATATATACCTCCAGACACAGACTGCGCACAAAAAATGTTAAACCATATATTTCCTGAAATGCAAGATAAAATATCAGAATATCTAACCACAAGATACCGTAGTAAAAAAGAAGGAATATCACCTATACAATTGTCAAATATTATTAAAAAATTAGGTAAAGAAAATGAAGTTGGTATTGTAAAAAGTAAAAATGGAAATTCATTTAATATCCCTGAAAATAAACCATATTGTGCAATAATAGATACAGATGGATTAATGAATAGAAACGGTCATTGGGTATATTGTAAACAACCTATTACCAAAAAACAATTAGAGGATGAAGTAGAAAGAATAAGGAAAGCACCAGATGTACAAGTGTCAGACGTTAAAAAATGGAAACCAAATAAAATTAACCTAAAGGAAAATCCTAGAACAAAATCTGTATATGTATGGGATTCAGAATGCTCACCACAAGAGTTAGATATATTATCACAAGAGAAAACACATATACCTTATGCATGCTGTGCTATGAAAGTTATAAAGAAAAATATAAAAAATAATATACAATCAGCTTTCGATAGTACACTAGAAAAATTAAAACAAAATAAAAATAAATATGGCGATAACGTATTCAAAGATAGAGAGTGTTTTATAAAAATGTTAAACTGGATTGTAAATATAGAAAAAGAAATACAGACAAGTGAACAAATAAAGACCATAAGATATACATTATTGAAAGAAATAAGTATCATAATGAAAACCATACCCAATCTACAAGAAACACATAACAGGATAACTGGAATTAAAAGTAAAAATATAGATGATATTAAACTAACGATAGAAAATGAAATAACAATATTAAAAGAATCTTTCGATGATAAATCTGAGATTCTGCTATTATTAAATAAAGTATTAGAAAATTTAGAAACATACAGACCTGAGATGAATATTTATTTATACGCACACAACAGTGGAAAATATGATACATATGTATTATTACAAGAATTAATCTCACATAAAGATGTAATAATACCTGAAGATGGATTATGTAAAACAGGTAGAGGATTAATGAATCTATCGATAGAATATAGAAATATAAAATTTCACTTTAGAGATACTATGCACCACGCTGCTGGTAGTCTTGCAAAACTAGGTAAAGAGTTCAAATGTCCTAAAGAATACTGTAAGATAGAAACATTTGACGTATTATCAGTAAATCTTGAAAATTATAACGAACTACAATATAAATGGGAACCGTATCTTAGATGTGATGTATACGCACTAGCATGGGTATTATTAACAATAGAATCATGGTACTGTATAGATGAGGCAGAAAAATTTATAAACAGATGGGAAATAATCAGATTCTATACAGTAAACACATGGGCTATCCACACATATGCTGAACGTGGATGTAGTGCAGATAGTGTAAAAGATTATGCCACAAATGAATGGTTAAAATCAGCAGCATATGGTGGAAGAGTATTAGCAATAATTGAAAAATTTAAATCTGAAAAATATATAGATCTACTCAAAAAACAATACGACTGGGCTGTAAATGAAGTGAAAGATGATTATTACATCAAGGATGATACATATTTAAAACATTCTCAAATAAGATGTCCAGAAGTAAAAAATCATAAAATCGAAATTATACATGATAAAAACGCAGGAATATTATTTGAAGCTGAACCTTACATTGAGCCTGCTGATTGTAATTCATTATATCCAAGTGCCACAATAAAAATGAAAAATTATAATGCAAAACCTAAACTATGCACAGACCTATCACACGAAAATATTATAAATAATGAACATGCTATTATAGCTGAAGTTGAATATGTAAAACCTTCTAAAGGAACAGTTATCCCATTATCACCAAAAAGGAAAGCTGATGAGACAGGACTCGAGTACACATGTAACGCAATATATAATCAGAAATGGACAAATACAGATTTAAGAGAATTTAAAAAACATGGATATGAAATTGGAAAAATAATTAAAGCTGTAGAATTCACAGAAAAACCTAAAGTAACATTTGGAGAATTAAATAGAGAACTATTTGATAAAAGACTGATAGCTAAAAAGGAAGGTAATAAAATACAAGCAGATAGATATAAATTATCAATGAATGGAAATTACGGTAAAACATTAGAAAAACCTATAAGACACAGAACAAAAATATTAAGATCAAATGCTACGGATGATTACAAGAGAATGCAAGAACACGCTACATTTATAGAATCTCTAACACAAGGAAAAGATAAGGGTAATATATTAAACTATCATGTTATGAAAGATGGCAGTGTAGTATATGAAGAGAAAACTATAAATCCAATAAATAAAAATGCACCCGCCCAAGTAGGCGCAGAAATATTATCAGAGTCTAAAGCTATAATGAATAAACTATTAGATATAAATCCATACGCTATACACTACATGGACACTGATAGTGGATATGTGAAAAATAAAATTATAGATATTGCAAAGAAAAGAAATCTGATAGGTAATGATATGGGACAATTTAAAAATGATTATGGCGAGGGTAAAAAATGTGTATACGGATTATTCGCTGCAGCTAAATGTAAATGTACAGTAGTCTCAGATATGAAAAATCCATGGTTATCAGTAAGTACAACATGGAAAGGTGTACCATTAAATATGCCAGCTAATCCTGCAGAAAAAATATTACTAAATAATCCTAGAGCAAAAAATAATTATGAAAAAATATCAAGCTTTAGAGAATATGCCATAGCACGTAAAGAAATGATATCTAAATATGAAAGGTTTATAAATTGGGAGCCTGTGAAAATGGATACACAAATATTATGGAAACGTGGTTATGAATTTGGAGTAACCACTACAGATGATGGTAAAAAAATGATATGTAAAAGAGAGCGTAAACAACAAGATGCTCAGACCGTTGTTATAAAATGTGGACCATACAAAGGAATATATGAAAATGTATTATTACCATTCGGTTGGGAGGCACCCGAGTAGATGAACAATGTCCCAGAAATATAAGATATAACCCTATAAATAATAACCCTTTTTTTACGCTATTTTCATGACGACCACCGCATCGCGAACGTAGTGAGCGTAATATTTCCATTAAGCATTTCTTTTAAAGAGTAGTGTATTCCTTATGGTATTTATATAACTATAGCTATAAAAAATATAGATGAGAGTTAAAATCATAAAAATTTTGTATATATATAGTAAACTAAAAATTTACAAAGTTAAAAAATATTTTTCATAAAAGTTAAATATGTCATACACAGTATACGATTCATATAAAATCGTTGTAAATGAAATAACAAAAATTATTAATATAGCTTCAAAAAATGAACATCTACCCAACAAATGTTTTCATTATATGATAGATCAAGTTATCATAATGAAAAATGAAGTGCATAATATGGATGCTGTAGGTATATATAGAACATTAATAATGTTATACACAAAGTTAAAATTCTTTATATATCGACATACAATATACAACAAGGAAAAACAAAACGCATGTGAAAGATTTACATCATATTTCAATAATCAATACACAATAGTAAAAAGAATGAAAGAATATATTAAAGAAAATGATATTAAAATATGTGACGGAGATGATCCATATGATAAAATAAATGTAAAAGAAGTTTGCTGTGGTGCAAGTATATTGCACTATAATAAAAAAATAAATGAATTATTCTATAGAGAGTTAAGAAAAAGATCTCTAGATTATAACAAAGTTTTATATAATAATAATATTAATGACGATGATGATGAGAATATATTTGACTGTATGTTTCATTTATTTTATCTTTATAGAAATCTGAATTGTATGAGTACTAAAGGAAAAATAAAACATTATAAAAATTATTTTATATTTCTATTTTTATCAGAAGTATACCTTTCCCTATAAATTATTACACATAATGCGCCAAGAAATATAAATAAAATCACTATAAATAATAACCTTTTTTTTACGCTATATTCATGACGACCACCGCATCGCGAACGTAGTGAGCGTAATATTTCCATTAAACATTTCTTTTAAAGAGTAGTGTATTCCTTATGATATTTATATAGCTATAGTTAGATAATATAAAGCTGAGAGTTAAAATCATAAAAATTTTGTATATATATAGTAAAGCAAATTTTATAAAAAATATAAAACAAAATGTATAACGAAATATACCCTCTCGTTCAATGTTTTAAAAAATGGAATAAAAAAAGTGATCCTTATGGTTTATTAAAGGACACAGATAAAACAATAATATTTCACAAGCCTAACCCTCGTAGGAGGACAAAAAATAAACGACCTCGAAAAATATTAGAAAAACAAAATAATCCACATAGAAGATTAAAATTACGATTAAAGGAACTTACACAACCGCCAAGTGAATCGTTAATTAAGAAAATGAATAACATATTACATCAAAAATTACATACAACGTTAACAGAATATATAAAAACATTACCAGAAAATATAATCGATATCAAACAAAGATTACAAAGTGATAAATTATATAAACAATTTAATTATGCGTTACCATACCTATATTCAAAAAGAGTGGACAAACCCCAACCTTATCTCTCACTTCATGATTATCAAAGAATTATAATGATGAAAAAATTTATAGAAGAAATATATTACACTAATGACTTAGAATATTCATATAAGTCATTACGTGGTGGTGGATACGTGGGGATGCATTACAACATACATCACTATTATGTATGGAAATGTATATACATAATTAGGTAAATCTATTAATACTATTACTGTGCAACCTATAAGCAATATGTTATTATTCAGAAACCTTTAGTATTATAGAACTTGATGAGCACATGTAGATTTGTGTACACTGTACACACATTTGTACATGTACATAGCATTTGGAACAACTTTTAAAATCTGTAAAAATTTAACTTTAATCATAATCAGCTTAAAGTTACTATTCAAACTGGGAACATGTATATGCATTAGAAAAATTATGAAAGTGGTGAATTACCTCATAGCCATTTTTGATGGAATTTGACCGAAGACCATGTACTATAGTACAGGGTATTAGTACTATAGTACAGGGTATTACTATAGTACAGGGTATTACTATACTACAGGGTATTACTATAGTACAGGGTATTACTATAGTACAGGGTATTACTATAGTACAGGGTATTACTATAGTACAGGGTATTACTATAGTACAGGGTATTACTATAGTACAGGGTATTCAAAAAGATGTCGATGTTGGTGATCAAGCTAGCTTTTTACTAAAAATCAGGTCAAATTCCTGTACTATAGTTAAAGGTGATGGCCAAATTTCATAAACATTTATAACATTTTCTAATACATATACATGTTTTTATGTTGTGTAGAAAGTTTGAGCTGATTCTGATCAAGTTTCAATTTTTTTACAAATTTTTAAAGTTGCTCAAAAATTGGGTCAAAGTCCCTGTACTATATAGTACAGGGGCGTCAGCCAAATTTTGCCAAAAATGTCAAGTTGAGAATTCTCAATTTTTATAACATTTTAAAATACATATACATGTTCTTATGTTGTGTAGAAAGTTTGAGCTAATTCTAATCAAGTTTGGATTTTTTATGAATTTTTAAAGTTGCTCAAAAATTGGGCCAAACTCCCTGTACTATAGTACAGTGTAGAAGGGAACTGAGCCCTTAAATAAACAAATTTTTTACAAAATAGATATAACACAGGGATAAATAGTAGGTTAATAAATGAGATAATAATAACAGAAATAAGTGATAGAAAAATAATAAGATAAAATGAATAGGTTAGGTTAGGGTAAGACGAGCTTCTGAGATAGCTCTGCAGAAATCGTTTGAATCGAATGATCTCACTCTTGATCGTGATCCTCGTAAGCACCTGATTGCTGCCGGCCAAATTTTGCCAAAAATGTAAAATTGAGAATTCTCAATTTTTATAACATTTTAAAATACATATACATGTTTTTATGTTGTGTAGAAAGTTTGAGCTGATTCCGATCAAGTTTGGATTTTTTACGAATTTTTAAAGTTGCTCAAAAATTGGGCCAAACTCCCTGTACTATAGTACAGGGGGTGTCGGCCAAATTTTGCCAAAAATGTCAAATTGAGAATTCTCAATTTTTATAACATTTTAAAATACATATACATGTTTTTATGTTGTGTAGAAAGTTTGAGCTGATTCTGATCAAGTTTGGATTTTTTACGAACTTTTAAAGATGCTCAAAAATTGGGTCAAAGTCCCTGTACTATATAGTACAGGGGCGTTGGCCAAATTTGCCAAAAATTTCAAGTTGAGAATTCTCAATTTTTATAATATTATTTAATACGTACACATGTTCTTATGTTGTGTTGCAAGTTTGAGCTAATTCCAATCAAAGCTAGATTTTTTATGAATTTTTAAAGTTGCTCAAAAATCAGGCCAAAGTCCCATAGTACAGGGGTGTTGGCCAAAATTTGCCAAAAATGTCATCAAGAGAATTCTCAATTTTTATAATATTGCCATTTGATGCATATAAATGTTTTTATGTTGTGCATAAAGTTTGAGCCGATTTTGATTGAAAAATTGCTCCAAAATTCTAAGATGATATAACATCCTGTACTTTATAGTACAGTCAAAAATGGCTGGGAGATTAAGTTTTCTACATCCTGTGTAATAAATTGTACTTTATGTATGATGTATTGATATTATTTTCAACCTATAGCTACAGGTCCTGTTTAATAATTGTACTTAGTGTACTAAAAATAAAATAATAGTTTAGTTCAGTTGACCACAGGAAATAAGTGTTGATATAGAATAAACCAATAATGATATTCATCACGTATTTTAATAGAAAAACAATTAAGCATTATTGAGTGCCAATGAGTGATAGTGCAAGTCTTTAAAGTTTAAGCTTTGCTATAACAACTATTAGATGCAGCATGAGAGAAAATAGACTGGTATATTGTTCCAATGAATAAGTACATTTTAAGTTATAAGCAAAAATTGAGCTCTCAGAATTGACTTTAATCATATTCATTGCTTATTATTTTGACTAGCAGGTCCATGCGTAATAGCACTACTAATTATATTCATAACAGGATATCCTTATATTATTTTTTAACCTTTAGACTGGGTGTGGCAGGCTTGACACTAATATGAATAATAAACTACAAACATAGAGACATGAGGTATTGCAAACAATGATTGTACTTGAATGCATAATCACCTGATTTGCAGGCTATAAAAAAGCGATTTTTTGCCTCCTTTCCACATTATTGCAAGCATTATTTCCTTTCTTTACAAGCAAAAAAAAAGAGTCAAGAAGCTAAGCCATGGCTGGAACTACTGATATAAATGTTGCCTACGTCAATGCCACTCAACAGACAGATTTTGATGTTGTTGTTTTCACAAAAAACTTCAATGTCAACACTCCAAAGGTGTACTACGTTGCCTGGAAGGTCCTTAGGGCACAAAATGAAGCTGACTTTGTCTTTCCTGTTACCATGGAGGTTGGTGCTACTTACACTAGCTCTGGAACAACCAACAAGGCCGGACCATTCCCTGCAGAGTTGGGATCAACTTGGAGCATTGCTCAAGAACCTGCAACAGCCACAGCAACTCTCACCCAAGGTATACATTAGCTTCTAAATTATTCAAAACTTTCTCTCTCTTTCTACTAGATCTCCGTAGTGCTGTTAATCCAAATGGATCTATTGTTGTGAGGAATACTCCACCAACTACTTGGGGTGGACGCATGTTTGATGTTGGCATCTACAAGAATGGTGGTCTGCTGGTTGTTCAAAAGGATATCCACGTTGGTGATCAAGTTGACTTCATGCTCAAGCCTAAGCTGTACTTTGGAGTGGTCCGTAATCTGGTTGAGAGTGAGGTTTTCACTTCTTTGGAGATCACAAGCTTTTTGACCGAGTTCGATCTGAGTGACTACCCTGATGGATTGAAAGTTACGCTCACTCAATCAGGAGGTGGTGGACAGTACAAGTTCACTGGAGATCATCTTTTGAATTAAACATTGGGACATTGAACTTGCTAACTGCTGCTTTTAGTATTTTATACCTTGCTTTTTACATGCTGCTTTTAGTTATTTGCTTTTTATATGCTGCTTTTAGTATTTTATACCTTGCTTTTTACATGCTGCTTTAGTTATATTATACCTTAGCTATTTTAGCTGTTATTTTTGCTATTATTTTTTAATGATACTTTTAAAATCCTAATGAAGAATAAAGATGCTAGCAGTATTGTACACTTGCATTTGGTGCCATAATGACACTAGTGTATTATATTGATACACATTGCTAAAACACAGAGATAGAGTTAATCTTTAATGCTTTCTTGTTGCTGTATTTAAGATATTGAGACTACTCGTAAATGTACAAAAAACTGCAATTTGTCATTTTTCGTCCGTGGGTTCATTTTTGATATCATTTGAACTTTGCCGCCTGTTGTTCTATGCAACCTCAAACATTAAATCATGTTTGTTATGAGGAAATGATATTTTAATTCCATCAAAAGTTTAGACGTCACAAGTCATATGACGCATTTAGCAACTAAATTCATTTTAACAAGTGGTGTCGGATCATTGTACTTCAAAGCACATTCACACTGGGTGTTGGCTCACAATGCAAACTTATGGTATAATCATAAGTACGCTGGGATAGGAAGTAGAGGTTATCGGCGCTAATGTATTCCATTATAGCTGATCGTATGATCGCCTGATTTGTGAGATAATCAGGATGTCGTACGATGAGCTAGGTTAGACTTGTGACCTCTTCTTGTGATCCAATATCCATGAGACACACCCATGGAAATAGATACATACATGTACATATAATAAGCATCCTTCCTCCTTCCTTTTCCTGTAGATAAAGAAGTTAGCCAGTTAGCAAACCAGCCATGGCTGATATAAGTATTACTCTTGACAGCGCTGGTGTTGATAAAAACATGCGAATTCTTGTTTTTGGATGGAAGGTAGACCCTGTAGTGACAAGCAGACATATCAATTTTGCTTGGAAGACATTCAAGTCT